GAAAAGTCTCAGTGTGGTGTGGTCAGTTTCTGTCAACTCAAGTGTTATAATAAATACACATTTTCCTGGGAACGTTTTAGTGTGGTGTGGTCAGTTTCTGTCAACTCAAGTGTTATAATAAATACACATTTTCCTGGGAACGTTTTAGTGTGGTGTGGTCAGTTTGTCAACTCAATTGTTATAGTAAATACACATTTTCCTGGCAAAGTCTCAGTGTGGTGTGTTCAGTTTGTCAACTCAAGTGTTATAATAAATACACATTTTCTTGGGAACGTTTCAGTGTGGTGTGGTCAGTTTCTGTCAACTCAAGTGGTATAATAAATACACATTTTCATGGGAACGTTTCAGTGTGGTCAGTTTCTGTCAACTCAAGTATTATAATAAATACACATTTTCCTGGGAAAGTCTCAGTGTGGTGTGGTCAGTTTCTGTTAACTCAAGTGTTATAATAAATACACATTTTCCTGGGAAAGTCTCAGTGTGGTGTGGCCAGTTTCTGTCAACTCAAGTGTTATAGTAAATACACATTTTCCTGGAAAAGTCTCAGTGTGGTGTGGTCAACTCAAGTGTTATTTTATTTATTCTTGGAAGTAAATGTACTCCTAATTAAAACTTCTTCAAATACTAAGAATCATATTTCTACATGTTTTTCTTCACTTATACATTTATTGCTAGATTAAAAACATGCCTGACGTGAGAGAGGTCCTGAGTTCGAATCTGAGCTGAGGAAATATTAAATTTGAAATTATAATACTTGTTATTTTGCTTCTTACTATTTAAGAAGATACGTGATTATCCTATTTCAGTCCATACACCTGTGTATTGCATATTCATATCCACAGAGTAGCAAGGAAGGATTTGATTTAAACTTACCATATTCCTGAAGAGATTTAAGAAAATTTGAATGCAACACTTTGTTACAATCTCCTGTTATAATTTCTCTTTTCACTTCCATATGTAATATTTCCATAGGATTCTTAAGAAATTATTTGACTATAGATTTAATATTACTTCCCTGTATGCCATTTTTCCATACACAAAGAAAAGGATAACTTAAGGAATTCCTGGAAAAGATCAAAGTGGACCATCCTGAACTAAGTTGGACTTGGTGTTGCTGGGCTGCAGATTGCAGGGTCGAAAGTGCGAGTCACCATATGCTGCTTTTAGTTGGTGAGGCATTATAACTCTGAGAGTCAGTCCTACTATTAGGTTAGATTTGGTTAAAAGTAGTTGCAGAGGCAGTGAATGTTGCTGGTTTGTTGTTCTTTCTGTTGTTAACAGGTCGAAACTAGAGATGACTATACCTCAATCTTAAGCCTCCCCCCAGGTAGCTCAGCGTTAAGCCTGCAGACTTACAACTCTTTTTTAAAAACCTGGTTTTGATACCCATGGTTTACAGAGCACAGATAGCCCATTGTGTAGCTCTCTGCTCAACAAAAACCTATTGAGACTATTTAGCCTGTGCTACATTGGTCGACTTTCAACTTCAATACACTGATCCTTCATTGAATTCAGTTAAATTATACAATTAACTACCTGACATATGATTTGAACCTGAAGTGTTGTAAAGTTATTGTGTATAATTTCCAAACTGAAGTCATTATTTGGATTCCAATAAATAGAATGTGCGTCTTTCTTAATCTTAGTTCTAAATATTTGAAAGAGGTTTGAAGAAGTGGTGTAAGTATGGCCCGAATTATAACTGCAATTATAGGGAAATAAATGAAGTGAACTCTTACTTTTTATGCGGGAGAGCCCACTGATTTGAAGTAAATGTTATTTTACTTTACTCAAGATCTTATATATGGTGTCCTAATATAAACCATGTCAATCTTAGCTCCATTATGTTTAGGTCTGGTGCTTATCGGCAATTTTGTGGGGTATGTTTTTTAAAATTAAAAAATGATAATTTGTATATGTATAAGTTGTATACCACATGGCCAGGTGGTTAGGG